TTAAAAAGTTGGACCTTGTCATAACCTTGAACTGACCTTGGGGAGAGGAATTTCGTCCTAACCGAGGCAATATACTCGGCAAGCGGGTAAAATTGGATAACGAAAAAGGAAATTCAAAGTGGGCAGAGGTCAATTTCGAGCGATCATTCGTCAGACCCAGAATAGAAAGCGTTCTTTTTCTGTTTCCACTGAAGATGACCTGTTTCGAGATATAGTGAAAGAAATACTTGTTCGGCAAGTTCGAGCGGAACTCGAAACCGTAAACCAGGACGATTCATATATCAACCTCTTCCCAGGGTTGCCTGATCACGGTCTGGCCTTCCTTAGGGGAGAGGAGAGGGGAGGACTGAGGCAAGCAGACGCTACTGCTTTACCCGCTTCTAGGCGTTCACTTAGTTGGTGCGCAGCGCGAAAAAACGGTGGAACGAAAAAAAGGACGAAGAGACTTAGCGTTTTCGCGCGCCATTTTTCGCGCTGCGCCCCAAACTAACTGAACTCCTGGAAGAGGCTTTATCTTTTTTGAAACATTACTCCTGTTTGGCATTTGTAAGACCTGATGTGATTTTGATTGCTTACTTAAGGCGCGTCTTATGCTGTGAGCGAAAGGCCAAAATTAATTACTCAAAACGTTTGTGTCAGGCTTTGCCGTACTTTCGAAAAGCCTTGTGCTCACTCAAGCTATTCCCAGGGCCTCTCCTTCAGCCCTGGAAAAGAGGGTTTTTTCATCTCGTAGCTACGTGCTATTTTGTACACATTTCTATAGTTGTTGAAAAATATATCGTGTTTCTCAAAATAACTATTGTGTAGAAACACGGAGTTATTAACCCTCCATTTTTACATACACTTTCTCCTGTAGATCTTGGCTTTTTTTCTGTCTCAGGTAAGAATTCGCTTTCTACGCAATTAGTTTAAATGTATTGCGGGGAATTAAATACTATATCAAGAATATTTATTTATTCCCAACCTTTTTTTGACAGTGATTGTCATTGCTATGCGATATTGAGTGTTTCTATTCAGAAATATTAGTTTAGCCATTAACCAAAATTTGGGAGGGCTGTAATTCTATCAGAAATAAACGAATTTAAAGTTGAAGAGCTGTGCTTTACAAAATTGTCTTTTTTCCTGCAGGATGAATTTCATGGAAAGATACTCGAAAGCACCAAAGAGAAGAAGTCTTTTTCAACGCAAGATATCTTAAATATTCGAAGGCTAATTTGTTTACATAGTTGAATAAATTAGGCCATATTGACCGTTGATTCATTCTCCGTGACTATCAAATTTTGACATTTTGAAGGAGGCGAGCAGATATTCGTCGCTTCTGCAAATCGTCCTTTTTGTGTGCAATCTGTTGCACACAAAAAATGATAACGCGATCCTTTACCTCTGTCAGATAAACGGGCAAATGTATCTGACTTATTTAATCAGCGTCAATAATTCAATCAAGTTCCACCAATGAAATAACTTTCCGTAAGCACCTGTCTTTAAAAGACCAATAAATTATTGATAATTTCCCATAACAACATAGGTGGTATATTTCAAGAGTCTAAACGACTCTTTGTTTATAGTCGAGTGAGATCGAAGGATAAAAGGATTTCCTGTACGAGTTGTCCGACCGCCCGTAACGATTTTTGGGTTATGGACGCTTGGGTCGTGAGCTGAAAGTGGAGTGTGAGTTGAAGCACGACGCGACACTGATACTCGAATTATCTTGCACCTTAGACCTAACGACTTAACACTGCTTTATTTATTTCGTCGAGTGCGCTTATGAAGCCAGACAGTGAATCAAAAGATAGAGGACAGCTTTCATCTTGCTTCAGGTAAAACGAAGTTAAATAAAACAGTGTTTATCACAACAAGAATAACAAAATACTTAAGTACCTGCGTGGAGCTAGTCATATCACGGCTCGAAAACAGACAGAGCGCCTGGTTTAATCAATTATGAGAACAATGGAAAGATGGGGGTTTGAGCACTGTTGAAAAACAAATGTTTTGAAAACAGGTAGCTGAGAAGAAAAAGCCTTTAGGATCACCCTGACCAAAGGGATCTTTTATCAAAGCGAAAAGAAAGTGCAACAAAAACTGTAAGCGTTGGAACACTTCGTCGATTTTTGTGACAATGTTTGGCTGATTTTTGTGGTTGTTATTCAATTCAATTTTCAGACTTCAGTGCCAACATATTTTCATATCTGTGTTTTTAAGTACTTTATCGCATGTCTAAAGGTAGACAAATTAATTCGAGCAGTCTCCAGCGGAACAATTGTTAATTGACTAGCGTTGCGTACTGAGTTTTAGGCGCTCACGAAATATGGATTTTAAAGACGAAACCGATCGGGGCAAACAGTCAAATCATACTCCAAACATAGCAAGGGTGATCAAATTTCCCGCCCCGTCTGACGAAAGTCCTAATCCTATCCTCCTTTTGTTCCGTATTTCTCAATCGTCGCTTGTCTGTTCTTGTTACTAGACCAGCACGCTGTATAGGCTGTTTACAAAGCGTTTTCAACGACAGTTGCACCTCACAGTTCACCCACGAAAAAAAAAATCATTGGAAAGGTTTGGAAAGTTGCTTACAGTTATAAGTTACATTGGTTTAATTGTCTTGACCCTTGACACGGTGAATCGTGTCTTTTCCTGTACTGAAAGACAACTTATTAGACGTATATCAATCTCTGCATTGAGTTTTTCAAGGAAAGTCTGACTTTGTGGTGGACATTTTATATATGCCGTCTACAGGAGTGAAGTTGTGTGCAGGAAATCAAGATTTCAAGACAGTAAAAACGTTGATGCGTTTTTAAACAGACCCGCGACGCATATTGTAAACAGCACAACGTTTTGGAATAGAAGACTTACATTTTGTGGAGTTAAAACATAAACAGAATGACTTCACGAGTGCTTGAACGCGCTTTCCCAAACGTCGATCGATTGTGGAGGCGAAAAAGGACGCAAACATGGCCAAACGCTCCCTCTTCCGACATGAGTAAATCGAATGGATGGAATCTTTTAGCGACGATTCCCGAAAGCGACTCAGTGAGATGTTCGGAAACGAAGTCGGGACGAGTTCGCGCCAAAACTGTCGCAGACCTTCGAAATCGCGTGCAAGACGAACAACTTCGGACGATTATTCTCGACGTCTTAACTTCGTACCTGGCTCAGTTTTCCGAATACAATCATAGTCTTTTCGGCAGACTGGGTCCCTTGCTAAGCGAGCTGATAAAAGTTCGCGTTGAGGAATGCATCGAAGGGCCATGTAAAATAGTGTCGCAGGTTTATATCGGCGCTGTTGTTGGCGAAGGAATCGATGCCGCGACACAGTGTTTGTGGACTCCCAACTACGATAAATACGCCACAGCTAGTTACGGAACACAGTCCATATTTGCCATGGGAATAGTCTTCGCGGTGCAAGTATAACCAAGCCAGCAAAACTCATATTAAAACAAAGGTATATATTTTGCGGGACGCAACTCTGGCACCTTTGCGTGGGACGTAATTTTTCCCGCGGGACGGGACGGAAGATCGCGCTACTATGGTCAGATTTTTGATAGATCGTGACAGACAGGCAGAGATACCCCCAAGTGCAGGAAAGATGACAGCATTTCTATTTCAGACGTGACAATAACTAACATGAATTTTATACTCCAATGCCAATGTAAAAACAACAAGAACGCTCAGATCTGGAATGGCAGAATAACCTGTTTTTAAAAGCAAGTTTGTTTGGGAACTGAAGATGGCGCATGTCAAATATTAGCACGTGACGGTTTCAACAAGTTATTTAATTTTTCGGCGGTGCGCTATCTAGAGTGCGAGAAAAATTCGTGTCTGTATTCACGAGCTGATGTTAATAAATGGTATTAAATTTATAAGACACAGGAAATATATATTTCTTATCATATTGAGGGATGTCGACTTAATATATTGTTGGAAAGGTCACAACCTCGTTTTTCTTTTTCTCGTATTAAGACCAGATGCGGGGGTCCGCATAGTTTAGACAGGTAGACGGATAGTTTCCCGTTGAGTCATTTACACTCAAAGTCATTGGGAGCGAGGATTTCTATTAGTGCTTTATCAGTGAAACTTGCCTTGGTGCTAAACGAAGGTTGTTGTTTATTTCATCAGTTCTCTTGAAATGCATGGGAATGGCGAAAATACGCATCGAATCAGTAAATTTGCCTGCTACGAATAAAGGAATATTTTCATTAGCGAAGTTTTAATCCGTTTCTGACTGTTAATTAGTCGCGAAAGTTACTGCATCTAAAACAAGATAAGGAAGCATTAGGAATGTGATAGAGGCTGAACTGTGTCAGCAACTTAACTTTGTCAGCAAACCTTTCTCCTGCTCTGTTATTACCCACCAGAAATTGCAGGATAGCACTGGCTTTCCAAGAGTTTAACATACTGTTACTGACACAGTTGTCACAAGAAATGCCACCTTTCCTGGTCCTTCCTGGACACGTTCTTTTTGACGCGCTCAGTTACAGCAAACATCTGACCCCGAGTGAAAAAAAAGAAAAACAAAAAAACAAAAAAACTAAACAAAACAAAAAGACAAACAAACCAACAAAAACAACAACAAAAAAACTTCTGGTCTGAACGTACTGGTCATGACTGGCAGCCAGCGAGCAGACAGTCCCCTTCGCGGCCATTATTTTGGTTGTCACGCAAAGGAGCGTTGTGTGACAAAGAAGTCTACTGTAATTTCTTTCTGTCAGCGATAAAACTAACTTTGTTCACCATATTATGTCATCAATGGTTTAATGAGAGGTTTTGAAAGTGAACGAAAAAGACTAAAAGCTGACTCTTTCTTTCCTTACGCATTTCTTCGATGATTGGGTTTGCTTTGTTATACTTCCTCTCACGCGTGATAGTTCGATATTTCTTCGCCGGGGCTTCTCGGGGACCCTCGGGCCAAAGTTGGCTGCGAAGGAGACTTCGGGGAACTGTGGAACAGACTGCTGCGACCTATTTCGCGGTCAGTGAAAACGCAGACTGCAGACCAGGGGTAAAATGAATACTGAAGGTATTAAAATGTAGACTGCAGACTACAGACTTTTAAAGTATATATCGTGTTACTTCCATGTATACATCGAGTGCTGACCGAAAACAGGTTTATTCAGGCTAATCGCAGTAAAAGTTTGCACTCCGGTTAGTCGGAATATCACTCCGGTTAGACTGAATATCACTCAGTTTAGCTTGAATAGCGCTCCCGTTAACCTGTTTACGGTTAACTCTCAATGATGCAAATGGTAACACAATTCAGTCAAAAAGTCTACAGTCTGCAGTCTGAAATTTACACTGACCGTCTATTTCGCATTTGGGCAGGTTCACAATATTTTGACCAGATTAGGACGGGTTTCATAACAAGGACAAATGTACAACAGGTATAGTAATAACATAGGAAAAAGGAGATTTATTACTTCTGAAGCTTCAAACTCCGAGCAATTAACATTTAACTGTGTACATCTCTTTCGTCACTAATGTACAAAAATATCATTTGTTATCGATCGTACAGACTGAAAATATAGTCTGGTGTGCAGGAGAGCTTTTAATAATTACGGAAACCGGTGACTCAGATCACGTTTCAAAATATTAAGTGTCAAGCCCGCAAGAGATCTTTATCCCTTAAAAATGTAAGGATGTTGGAAATTCTATACAATGTTCAGTGCTAGATAAACAGATATGACAATTCCACTTCAGACTGTCGAAATTTGTTCTTCCTATGATGATGCATTTCTGTCCTCGGCACCATTCATCATAGACAAAACTTTTGTTGTTAGGATTAATTTCTAAAATTCGGTCTGTCCCTAGGTACGCGCTAAATCTCTACTGGCTATCTGCGTGGAACCTGCTTACACGTTCACCGGGCTATATTTAAAATAAACCCGATCATTACAAAATTTTATCTACTCTCATTCGAGGTTATAAAACACCACGCATTCGTAGGTATTTCCGAAACAATAACACGAACACCTTGGCATAGCGAATTAAACGAAACCCCATCTTGGTGGAAATTTGTTTTGGCATCGAGCTTCGCTTTCTTATCTAAACACAACTACGGTCGAAACTTTTCATTCACATTTCTTGACTATCATCACAATAAAATATTTACCAAACTTTTTGTCGGGTTCTTCCACCTCAAAATCATCAACACTCATTTTAAAAGCTTGTTCTTCGCCCTGGCTCAGAGTGACATAAATCACCTTGGATTTCTTCACGATCAAAATTGCTCTTTTTTTACGACAATGACCTCTTCGTTTAGCTCCCCGCTGGTTGGCATTTCGACGCATACAAGCTGTACTGTCTCGTTGGCGTTCAGGTTCGCGGAAGGGTATAAACAGTTATTCAGTAACTCTTGCTCAGTTTTCGTAAGCGGTGGTGGAATATCGTCATCTTCGGATTCTCCGTTTCCGCCCAAAATGGTTTCGTGGACTTCGCCATTTGGAGATTCTGGTCCCATCGAATCCACGCTTTTCCGCAGTGAGTCGTCGCTATAAAAAAAACACCATGGGACGTGTTACATGTTGGTTTACATTTGTGAAACATGAGAACGAATATTGAAATATTAAAAAGGTAAATACACAGTCACTCTGCATTAACAAAGGTCATTTCAAAACATCTGTTTGACTTCGATAGTCGCAAGAGAACTGAGTTTTCGAGATCACTTTTAACGTGTAAATTTTCTGACGGGTTATCAACGTTGATAGTCTCGATACTTTGCAGATATCCTGAAGAATCGAGAAACCTATTAAGAAACTCTAACCAACGGTATAAGTTACTGAGTTATCTTAAGGAAATCTCAGCTGATTAGAGACTTGCCGTCAAAATTTCATTTTCTGAAATGTATATATAACTAAACGCATGTCGTAATCAACTACATTGTAATCATCCAGATCACGGACACGAAATGAACAAAGACGGCTCTCTTGAAATCTATCAAACATAGATACGTAGGTAAACAAAAAATAATAATACATTTCCTTGTGTGCTTATGGCTAATTCGAGTGTGAGATCGCACCTTTTGTTGGAGGGAATCCTATCGCGCTGTCTTCTGTTTTTAAACCAGTTGCTGACTTGCTTCAAGGTCAGTCCCGTCTGTTTAGCGATGAGCCGTTTCTCTTGCGGAGTAGGGTATCGATTTTGCTCGTAGCATTGCTTCAGCAATTGCCTTGATTTTTCCTTGAAACAGTACACGGTTTCTTCGCCGTCCCAAATAGTGCGTGGAAGCGGGTACTTCCGTCTAATCCTGTATTTATCCACGGCGCCTAATTCTCTTCCTCTGAGCTTTTCGGCTTCGCAATAGTGTGCTTTGTACCACATATTCTGAAGCATTTCGTGCGAAGACGGATCAAATTCATGGCTCTCGAGGATCGTGTACACTTCGCGAAACCGTCCACGGTGAAACGCGACGAAAGCTCGAGCTTTTAGCACACTCTCTGTTCCGCTTAGAAGTTCATTCGGGGGGAGTGACCAGAGAAATCGAGCCAACCTTTCAAGATCTCCTGATTGCCTGAGCGCATCACAAACGCAAGCAACTTGATCGGTGGAAAACGCTAAACTTGGCGGTTCAGCCTTCACTGGCGTGACGTTCTCAAACGCTTCCATATCGTTCCGTTAGCGAACACCAAATCTCAACACACTGCAGTTACGTGTTATGCATTGTTCCTTTACTATTTCAAGTGAGTTCGACTGAACGAAATGTGTGATAAATGCCACAGCGGTTTGTTACAAATCAAAATGTCGCCTTTTGATTGGCTCGTGCGTCCGCTAATCGACAGAATCGGAAATTCTTTGGTCACAAGGCCATTTGTCGCTATTAAGAAGGCGGGACTTCGTCCAGTCCAGTGTCAAAACGACGGCATTGTTTTTAAAAGTATCAAGCTTTGTTTGACCTGGATTTTAAGCTTTCGACAAATCAGAACTCAGAACTATAATTAGTTGAGGAGCTTTTATTTTTCACACTTACGACAACAAAAGCAAGTTGGCAAACACTGTTAATAAGCCAGAATCTACACGAATAATAATATCTTCTTAATTCGGACCGTTTAGCTGAGTTAAATCGGAAAATGTCACGAAGAACTTTTTGGATTACGCAACTTATTAAGCCTTATCCTTCACAAACTTGCGCCTGGATAGACAAACACTTTCGTTGTGTAAATGCGCAAATTTCCTGTGCACTAGGATCGATACACGATGTTAATTGATCGGTTAAATGTTTGGTTCTTGAGAAAACTCGAAATAGAGTGCTGTGTCCGAAGAGGAAATAATGCGTGCGAGCTGTTGCTTGACAAGCCCAACGTATTCGCTTTTGTCTTCGTGTCCAGCTGTCAAAGTTGACAATTTTTTACTCCTCTATTTATAGTAATCCTTTTAAGGAAACATAACACCTTTGGGCAGAAGCGCAATCGTGGTTGAGGTTTAAACCCATTCTCAACTTTTTTTTTTACTTTCCTGATAAATTCAGTATGGCGCGATAAAATCAGTAAGGGAAGTTCTTAGTTTGAGTTTGGAAATAAATGTGGTGAGCTTTTTCACAGATTTCAGCAATTGTGGAAAAAGCGCCTTACTTCCGCCGCGAGAGAGTAACACCGGAAGTCCTCGATTATGTGACTTCTCTTCACAAATCTGGATACAAAATATAAACATACTCAAAAATTAGGTTCTTGCCAGAGAGTATGTTAGTATAATTAGGAGAGAGACTGCCCCTATGCCTCGCAACCGGTGTTTGATCTGTTGAATCAATAGCTGAGGAATTATTGTTATGCTGTGATGAGAATAAAGGTAAAGGAAGAAGCAGCGAACAACGAGAGAATTCTGCGCGAAGAAGACTGGGAGTTAATTTAGCGCGCGGGGCAGAGCGCGAGTGCGAGCGCGCAGACCGTGAGGACATATGAGATAAGAGCCCATCTACCGCGCGCTCTTCGTATTTTTAATATTTGTGCTCCGTGCTTGTGCATACGTAATAGAGGCTGGCCTGAGGCTGGGATACCAGGCGCCGATGCAGTTTTCCGTTTCGTAAACGGTCGATGCCAATTTCGCGACACTTAGAAAGTTTTTTAACTATCAACGAATTTTTCTCTACGAAATTAAAAAAAAAAGAAAATTTGTAAATACCCAACCAGTATCGAACCCGAAACTTCTGTCTATTAATATCCCTCCTCTACCGCTACACTACCTGATTGATCTACCAAATCCCCGCAAAATTTAATTATAAAACGTGACTGACAGAGTTGCTCCA